GGGTTTATAGGGCTTAGGGCTTTTAGGGTTTAGGGTTTAGGGTTTAGGGCTTGGGGCTTAGGCTTTAGGGTTAAGGGCTTAGGGTTTAGGGCTTAAGGTTTAGGGTTTAGGGCTTAGAGCTACGGGTTTAGGGTTTAGGATTTAGGGCTTCGGGTTTAGGGCTAAGGGTTTAGGGTTTATTGCTTAGGGTTTAGGGTTTCGGGTTTAGGGTGCTTTTTTCTGTTCTTTATAGGGGTGTGATGTGCCTTTGCTTAAAAAGTATCATGGCGGTTTATTTGGTTTTGTTGCACGTTTCGGCTTGGGTGACGTTCTTACAAGGCTTCATAAGCCTTATACATATATATATATATATATATCTGATTTGGGTGACTCAGGCAGAAGCTCCTACCCCCCTCCTCCACCAGGGCATTAAAACAACAAAGGGACAGGTCAAACATGTTGCGAGTTCCCAGGTCCAGCCAGGAGCTTTGGATAGTAGAGTTTGGGGGCCCGTCTCTCTCTCTCTCTATATATATATATATTTATTTACTTACTTATTTATTTATTTACTTATTTATTTGTTTACTTATTTATTTATACTTATATTTATATTTATATTTATATTTATATTTATATTTATATTTATATTTATATTTATATTTATATTTATATTTATATTTATATTTATATAGATCTATACATATATAGCATCAATCCTGAATCTCGGTGAACGCCCGTGCAGTTGAAAGTTCCAGAGCCGCTAAGTACCTCCGTGCTCGTCTTTCCTTTGGAACCCCTAAACTGCCCGGCCCTCGACCCTAAAGCTGTGAAACGATCAATGAGACGGTTTAGGGTTTAGGGTTTAGGGTTTAGGGTTTAGGGTTGCCTGCCATGGGCTTGCACCAATGGCCTGGTGTGTTGGCGCCAGTGCTGGGCAAAAGCTTGCAGCCACGGGCGTCATCGCTTTCTCCACCAGAGGCTTGGATATCCAGGTCTTTAACAAAACCATGCATTCGGATTCCAACCTTTGTAACTTTCGGGCTAAGGGTTTATAGGCTTCTGTCCAGAAATCCGGGTTCAGGGTTGAGGGCCTAAGCCTTGAGTTTAGGGTTTAGGGTTTAAGGTGTTGCCCTAGACCCTAAGCCGTTGGCTTGGAAATGCTCCAAGCCAGGCTAAAACTGCGCTGAACCCGAACTGACCCCCAAAACCTAAAGCCCGAAACCCCAAAGCCCTAGACCCCAAAGTCCAAACCTTTAACTTTTAGAACCCTTGTTGCAGATCCCTTCCGAAACCCGTCAAAAAAGGAGCCCTCAATGCAACCCTAAACCCGAACCCCGGAGCCCTTAAATGAACCCTAAACCCAAACGCCGGAGCCCTTAAAGGAACCCTAAACCCAAACCCCCGGGCCCTTAAAGGAACCCTAAACCCTAACCCCGGAGCCCTTAAAGGAACCCTAAACCCTAACCCCGGAGCCCTTAAAGGAACCCTTAAAAGGAACAAACCGTCGAGACCAGGCCTCGCTGCGCTCGGGCCCAAGTAGCTGGCTGCCAAATCCTTGTCGTCGGAAAGGGGACAGTTCTGGCTCAGGGCTTGTAGGGTTTAGGGTTTAGGGTTTAGGGCTCAGGGCTTGTAGGGTTTAGGGTAGGGCTTAGGGCTTGTAGGGTTTAGGGCTTGTAGGGT